TATATATATATAGTATCACTGATCGAATACGTACGTATATAATTGATACATAGAATTTCTGAAATTCTCCACTATCATTACTACGAAAATAACGGATCACACCTTTTTGCAAACCGCTATAATACAATTATAGACATCCTTATTTCCACTTCAATATGTATAATAGTGCATCAATAGATATCTCTATTGCTGCCAGATTTTGGATCCAAAAGGTCAATAGGCATCAATCAGAAATAATATTATTCTGATTGATGCTATGTATTGATACCCGATTGATGTATATATTTCTTAAACTAGTTTATTGATATATATATCTTCATTCAAATAGACATCTCTACATATTGCTGCCAGATTTTGGTTTCAAAAGGTCAATCGGACATCAATCAAAAATAAGATTATTTTAATTGATACTACATATTGATACCCGATTGATGCATGTATTTTTTAAACTAGTTCAGTAAGTTTATTTTGAATCACTGATACGTACGTATATTATTAAAGATTGAGATAAATGTATAGACATATGAGTACTGCCAAGAGAAAATCTGTAAATCTTATTAAATAAGATTTGTGGGTTTTCTCTTGGTAGCACTTATATCAGTGCAATTATTATCTAAGGTGTAGCAGAGGACGCCCCAAAGCCTTGACTTATATATATTCCCCTTACTTCAATATATATAATAACGCATCAATAGATATCTCTATTTCTGCTAGATTTTGGATCAAAAGGTCAATATATAGGCATCAATCAGAAATAATATTATTCTGATTGATGCTATGTATTGATACCTAATTGATGCATATATTTCTTAAACTGGTTCTAATAGAATCATTGATATGTATATCTTCATTCAAATAGACATCTCTACGTATTGCTGCCAGATTTTGGTTTCAAAAGATCAATCAGGCATCAATCAGAAATAATATTGTTTTAATTGATGCTATATATTGATACCCGATTGATGCATATATTTTTTAAACTGGTTTAGTAAGTTTGTTTTGAATTGCTGATACATATGTATATTATTAAAGATTGAGATAAATATATAGACATATGAGTACCACCAAGAGAAAACCTGTAAATCTTATTAGATAAGATTTGCAGGTTTCTCTTGGTAGCACTTATATCAGTGCAATTATTATCTAAAGTGTAGCGAAGGACACACTATTTCTACATACATGTGTCAAACCATGCAATGCTTATTAACATATTTTGGTATATTTGGGCTTTGGGCTTCTGATAAGTATGTACGTACATAGTAAATGCAAGTAAAGGTTTTTTTTGAATGTTAATAGCTGCTCTACTTTGTTTAGTATATCAAAAGCGTGTGAAGGTAAACCGGGTCTGCATAAAAAGCACACCTTACACAAACTTTGGTTATCCTTAATGCACTTTTGACACACTAAACAAGGCAGGCCAGCTGTTAAAATTTAACTACATATAAATACATAAAAAGTTCAATCGAGTTGGATTTTACTTAATTTTTTCAGTATATCTTAACGAAACTTGCAATTAAATAAAAAAGATAAATAAAACTTCTATATAATCACACTCTTTTATAATTACCAATTTTCTTGATACAAACTGCGTAATTATAGAGAAGGAAGACTGTATTTGGAAATCTGTATAATTCCCTTTGAATCAAAAAAAATCGTCTAATTTTCTATAGTTTTACATTACATGATGATTTGTAGAGGTCACATCTTTTTGCAAACCACAATAAAGAATTTCAACTTAAAGCTACATCTAATAAGATAAGTGTATTACTGAGTGGATTCTTTGAATTAGTTTATTAGAGAAATAGTGATAGATTTTTAACAACTTGACTAGATTGAATCATACCTCAGAAGACAACAAGATGAACAAGTGCAAACAAGATATTGATGGTTGTATTAAAGAATTCCATATTTTAAAATATGTGGATTCCTTTTAATAGATCAAATAGTAAACATTTATGAAATTGAATAGCATATTTATATGTTTGGGTTATTAAATGTTGTTCTTAATACAAGCTAAATTAACACAAATTAATAAAAAATATATACAAAGATGATAGTATGGTATTTGTAAAATGCGTCTGCTAAATTTTTTCTTGTTTAATCCAAAATTATTTCCTACAATTCTTGCAAAGTACATCTTTAATAGTATTACTTGACAAAACCGCAAAATATTTTCCTTTTCAACGGTTAGATTACTTTATATAAATTACTCAATTGTGTAATGTGACGATCTACAACTTTATTCTTTTATATACGTACTTATATACACATTCAAATATTATTTACTCTACTACTCAAGGTTTTAGGTAGTTATATATCATGCAAATATCTTTCCGATATTTTTGCTTAACCTATCTAAGGTAGGTTTAGACTGCTGTTTTTTGTATTTTCTAGGTTTTTATTTTCGTGTTGCTTCGCGATCATGAAAATTTTACATACATACGTATGTATGTACATGAATTTTGTGTTATACCTGATCTCAAAATCTGATTAGATGAAACTTATTGTCCAGAGCGAAGCGGAGGACTTATACTTCTATGTGCTTTGATGACTGAAATTCCGATTTTGATGCATCTATAATAAAAAGATCAAAAAAGCAGTTTTGGCATTTTCCATCTGTAATATCGCATGTCTATATTTGTACATTGTATAAAAAAATTATGCACGTTTACGCGTTTGTGTAAGATGACAATAATGAGCTCTGGACTTTAACCGGTTTCCGGTTCTTAGTGATAATCATTATATATATGTATGATATGCTTCGAATTCTAAAAACATTCTTCGATTCTAAAAATATTCAAAAAAAAAAATGTCTACTATTAGAATCCGTAAGAAGGTAGTTTATATTTTTTTTTAAAAAAAACCAGACCCTTTAGATTGTTTTTTACGTGGTTGTCTCGGTGTTAGCGCAAAGATGCACTCTGAAACAATCTAATAATCATTTGGCAAGGGTGGTTCGTTCTATGATGTAAAAGCAACTTGGCAGTAAACTCTAGTTTGCTTTTGTGGGTTATCTTGGCGTTAGTGCAAAGATACACTCTGGATCAACTATCTAAGCTATTTGTGAGAATATTGTTCTATGACCGTAAAAAGTAATTTAAAGGAGCTTTTTAGTTAATAAGGTCTACTAATTCTAAAAAAGGAATTAGTTGTGATTGTCCTTATTATAGAAAAAGCTTTGTTCATTATATTATTAATATAAAATATTACTACTGAATATACGCATTTTTCTGTATTATTCAATTTAATTTATTTTTTATTTATAGATTTCCTTAACAAAGAAAAAAACCAAACAAACCAAATTAGTATGTATATATATATATATATATTACTATAGAGCATTGAGTAGAGCCCTGCACAGCCTAAAAACTTGTATTTTTGCCGGTCCGCATGGCCCGCAAAATAAAATTTACTATATTTTTTAGAAGTTCAGCTCGTAATTTACTATGTTTTTGAGATACCAGGCCGCAATTTTGAGAGCTTTTTAAAATTTTCAAATTTCGGCCTGGCTCGTGCAGGCCTCTAATTCTGAGTATAAATCATATTAGTTTTGATTTATACCTCGGCTACTAAATGTAGTGCTCTACAGTATTTATTATGATTATTATAATTTTATAGTCTGATTTTATAATTTATTATTATTGTCGATACGTAGAACTTTCCAAGTGATCGTGATAAAGAAAATGATCTGATTCTAAAATTTAATAATAAAAAGGTTTTTTTTTTATTAATTATTCTAGCATTATCAATTTTCTTATTATTGCATTATTTTTTAAACCTGTTAGGCTCGTTTGGCGCAAAATGCTCCTGTCTATGGAAACGATGGTTCTGCTTCTGTAGATGCAAACTGTGATGTTTATAATAATGAAAGAAAGGTATAATATATTAAGAATTCTGGATCTGGTTTCTTTATTACATCTAATTTTGAAGTTTGGTTGGTATTATCAATTTTCTTATTATTGCATTATTATTTTTTAAACCTGTTAGATTCGTTTAGCGCAAAATTTTCCTGTCTATGGAAACGATGGTTCTGCTTCTGTAGATACTAACGGTGATGTTTATAAGAATGAAAGAAAGGTATAATATATTAAGAATTCTGGTTTTTTTATTACATCTAATTTGGAAGTTTGGTTGGTATTATCAATTTTCTTATTATTGCATTATTATTTTTTAAACCTGTTAGGCTCATTTGGCGCAAAATGCTCCTGTCTATGGAAACGGTAGTTCTGCTTCTGTTGGTGCAAACGGTGATGTTTATAAGAATGAAAGAAAGGTATAATATATTAAGAATTCTGGTTATGGTTTTTTTATCACATCTAATTTTGAAATTTGGTTGATACGTATTATCAATTTTCTTATTACATATTGTATTATTATTTTTTAAATCTGTTAAGCTCATTTGACGCAAAATGCTCCTGTCTATGGAAACGGTAGTTCTGCTTCTGTAGATGCAAACGGTGATGTTTATAAAAAGGTATAATATACGTATTAAGAATTCTGGTTTTTTATTACATCTAATTTGGAAGTTTGGTTGGTACGTATTATGTATCAATTTTCTTATTATTGCATTATTATTTTTTAAACCTGTTAGGCTCGTTTGGCGCAAAATGCACCTGTCTATAGAAATGGTGGTTCTGCTTTTGTAGATGCAAACGGTGATGTTTATAATAATGAAAGAAAGGTATAATATGATTGGTTCAGTATCACGTGAGCCCATTAAGTCCTTGCTATGTATGCTTCTGACATTAACTTTAGGGTTAGATTATGGAATAGCATATGCCAAAGCTTTACGAGGAATTTTTTTTTGTTAGCCAAATTTTTTAGATGGCAGTTACGTATGTACGTATAAATGTACTTACACAATGTTTTGTTTAATAATACCAAGGTTCTTCAGGACGAGAATAAATACCTCAAAAAACAAAATAAAGGTATTACATTTGAATTGAATGTATTCATAATTATTTAATACGTAGTTATTGTGCTAATGAATAATTTATTATATGTATACAGAATTAGAAAAACAAGTTCAAGACATGAAAAGACTGTTTGTTGAAAAAGATGAGGAAGTAAGTAATTTATTGTCACGGCTGAAGCATGAAATTTTAAATACTTTAATATGAAATTTTCAAAAAATTTTGGGGGTTAGTTTTGATAATTAAAATGTATAAGTGGATTGTGGTAGGGTTTATATTTTTAAATCGAGGTTTCTAATTTTAAGCTTCAGCCACGACATTCATTTTACATTAAGCTTAACCTTTTATCACTAATAAATTATCATTTATAAATAAGATAAAGCGATTAAATGATCTTTTCTGTGAAAAACTCGATGAACTCGACGAAGTTGTGCCCAAAATTATTCATGATGACAAAGCTATTTTGTTAAATCATAACATGATGTAGATTGTGTTTGGAAATTGGGATTTTACTTAATTTTTGGTTTATAACAAACCAAAATACTATCCCATTTTAAATCAATAGTGTTAAAAACACAAGTATTAAAGCTGGGGTTGCGACCCAAATCTTTTATTAGAACTACGGGGTTACTATATAGTTTGGGTTTGAAATCGGGATTCTACTTGAATTATAACCAAAATCCAAGTATATATTTTATTTCATTAAAATAGTGTCAAACTCAAAAACCACAAT